CACCTACCGTAGCCTCCTCTCGAGACTCATCACCAAGAGCGCGCGTCCTACGCATTCCAGCGGACGCGATCGGCAACGAGTATTCTCGTCTCGACGTTCGACGAGTTTGCGCTATTTCCGTGAACGGATTCACCGCGGAATGAGATCAGTGCGCTAAATTTACGGGGTCCTCGGAAAGCCTGCTGTGCGCTCGGCTCTCGACAGCCACGGAGAAGAGGAGGCGCAACGGTGGCGCTAGCTGGACACGCTTCGCGGCACTATCGCCCACCATGCCGTGTACCGATATCTTACTCTGTTCTGATGCCAACTGGCCGTGAGGGAGCCGTTCGCTACTTACGATTCATATATATATATATATATATATATATAGACTGTGCTTAGGAGGTATAGAAGAAAATAAAATTAGTAAACAAAAAAATTGAGCAAACTCCCGAGTACGGGATAAGAGGTGAGGTAGATGACAGACGAAAACGTATTCGGAGGAAGGGATAAGCTCGCATAACAGGAAGAACGAGAGAAGAGCGCAATAAATGACAATTGCGATCAATTGAATTATTCCTAGGTCTCCTTTTCAGCGACCCTGAAACCCGTCCAAAGAAATGGCGACGCTTTATGGCCGACAGAAAGGGAAGATAAGTTAGATAGGAGGAGGTTGAATTTTCGTAACTCGTACGACTGGTAATTTGCCAAGCGCCTAGTTACATAAGCATCCGTGTCTTATGGGGTATTCCGTAATGCGTAATCCGCCTCCTCCGCATACCAGCCGGCGACAACAGCGACGGCGGCATAACCGCCGCAATCACCAATCGACATTAGCATCGTCTACGAACTTATATCCAGCATTCCAAACGTTTCCCGAGTATCGGCGAAGCCTTGATCTACCGGATATGCATAGGTGAACAAATCAGACGTGGAGTTTCAGAGACTAAGAGTCCCGTGAAAAAGTGAGAGTTTCGACAGGCAGGAGAGTTGGCGATAAAAAAAAAATACCAATCGTCATTGGAATCACCGCTAGAGAGACGTCGTGTCACGAAAACTACTTTAAACGGCCCACTTTCCTTACTTTCACGCGAGTCGCCTCCTCCCTTTCCTCTTAGGCCTTGCAGCACGATCCGCCCAGGCTTGTCTACTGTACCTACCTAGGTGCAGTATATATCCTGCTATATAGGTACTAAGAGCGCGGTAGCCTCGATTAATGTATAACGGGTCCGTGTACCTTCCTTCGACACCGTTTCACTGTTCTATAATAGCCAGGGGTACTATCGTAGGAGATTCGCACCAGGGTATCAGCTGCATGTCTCTGGTTGGGGACTTATCGGGCATCGGGCGAGGAGTTGACTATCGGAAGGAATCAATGACGCAGGGAGCCTATCGTATCTCGTAGCTCGCTTAGGCAGCCACGACAGCTCAACAATGCGAATCGATGCAATCGACTGGATCGACCTAACAGGGCAAGGTCTACGCTACGGGTCCTGCGGATACAATTCATATATGAGTAATCTATACGATAGACTATAATTAGAATGGTTCGATAGGACGATCAAAGCCGTCGTGACACTTGATAACAGACGGATTCGGGGGGAGTCCGATCTGCGGTGTCTCGAGGTTGCGTACGATCCGTTTGGATGTCACGAATGGTGTAGGGCTTGGGGGAACGGCAGGAGGTTGGAGGTGGTGAAATACATCGAGACTCTGGATAATAGGGACGGTTGTATCGTACTGAGCCGAGATTGGATAGGCGGGTATAAAAGCGGAGCTACGAGCTACGGAGAGAGAGATAAAGACAAGAGGTGTCGAGGTTGGTCAAACTGACAATACGTGACGTCATCTAAAAATTACTTTACCTCGAGGAAACGTCGTCAGTCTCGTCACCGCCGTTACGAAGTAAAGGAACGAGGACGTATTATGCCTAAAAGTAGATCCCTCCTCCTGCTTCTCCTTCTCTTCGCCGAGCAGACGCCTTCGTTACTTCTTTGTTCTTCGTACGATATCACGAGTCACTTCTCTTCGTTTTTCGATTAACCTCGCGATACACGTTGTATTACCGTTGTGTATCGGGCGAAGGAAACGTCGGGAAATTATCATCCGCGATAACCGATTGTCCTCACGCTTTGTCCTGATGTATATCTTCAGCTCGTGTCACAGTTACTTTCGCCGCTTCATTCGGTCTCTGATTATCCCGATCGCGCCTCCTTAAACGCTAATGCCGTCGATGCTTGGCTATCTCTGCCTCGGTCCCTCCCCTCACTCTCTAAGTCTGTCTCCCTTCCTTTCCTTTCTCACTCACTGGCTCCCTCTCACTCACTCTCACGGTGTGCGCTCTCGGGCCGACACGAGGGACGCTGCTCTCTCGCGACGACCGTGCGCGACCGAGGACAGACCACTACTGAGCATGTATTCGAGTCTACACCAGCGGCTATGCTACGATGCGGAGATACCCCACCGAAGCATAGCGCTACGACACGAGTCGAGTCGTTTCCCCCCTTCGTGCCTTCTCTATCCCCACTACTGACTCCCTGTCTCTCGGACTATTCTTCCTCTCGCTTTGTGGTGATATTGCCATTTTTTTTCTTCATTCTCCTTTTCTTTCTTTCGAGAATAATCTCGTGCTCTTCGAGTGGATAGAGAGATTTCGACCGGGATTACCATCGGTATTAAATACTTCGGATATCCTTTATCGCGGAGCGTTAAACCTATTTCCCCTGAATTCCTTCAACGCTTCTCCCGCTTGGCGCCCACGATTTCTTTGACATCGCGATTATTTCGAACGACTTCCATCGAGAAGTGCTACCATCTTCCTCGAATTCATATGATTCAGTGAAACAGGAATAAGTGTGTTGCGTGGAGAATTTTTCTTTTTTTTCCAACGTCCTACGTCACGTCGTTCAATGTCCTTCGCCAGGTGTACTGATATTCGGGAGAACGGTGGCGCAGCAGCTGATTTCTTTAAAGCGAACGACACTCATAGAACTTCAGTTGTCCAAAATGTTTTCGAATTCTAGAAGACACACGTACGCAACACAGAAATGAAGTAGCTTTATGAGTCGTACTAACGAGGCACGCGTCACCGGTACTCCCCGTCACGAGGTTTTCCCACGGACAACACTAAAAATTCATAATCTCGTATTTTCTAGTGCTCGCGTGAACTGGATATTTATTTGATGAATCTAAAAGGTCGTAAACGCCATAGCAACACAGTGCAGCACGGATACCCCAGGTAAGTACAGTATACCCAAGAGCTTTAGTACCCCCTGAATATTTCCCAACAAGCACCGCACTGTAATCCCAACTCTTCCCGAAGGACCCTTAATTCAAATCCCAACATGCTTCCGCAAGATTTTCATCCGACTAGACGAAACGAGTGGCGGGATCATTGTGGTTAGGATCTCGCAAGTAAGAAAAAAAAAAAAAAAGAAAATCCACGTATTTCACGAGGTTGCCTTTACCATCGCACAGAAGAGGAAAGACGATCGTTCGATCAGGGTGAAAATTTGAGCTTCGAATCTCCTTCGATGCCAGGACTACCCGAGTACGACCACTGAATGGTTGGGGTGAAAACACGAGGGTCGTCTCTCAGTCTTGCACAGGAGTCCCGCCCCATGTGTCCGTCTTTCTTGGATCCATGTTAGGCCGCGCGAGCCTTTTGTTCTGCTCCGTCTCTCGTTGGCGTAGTGGCGTCCTTCCGCACACAGCCAAGCAGCCACGCAGGAGTACCGAGCGTCACGTAGCTCCCGAGGCCTACGAGGCCTACACTCCTTTCGAATATATATATATATAATACACAATACACACGTATGCTCTCCCTACGAAGAGACACGTGCTCACGGTGACTGGAAACGATCCGTGGACAGAGACCCCGTTAACCAGCGAAGAAGAGAAGGCGGATCGATTTTACGAAAATTTTCATCGACCTTCGCGCGTGAGAGGTTAAGATTCGTCTGAAAGCGATAGATAGCCGAGATACTGCACGTAGGGACTGTACCGTCGAGCATATTCAAAGAGAGTTCGAAAGTCGACGCTCACGACTTGTCTGGTGTCGCTCGCTCTTTCTCAGGACGTTCCTACACAGCTGTGTCGCACGCTACTGCGCTCGCCGAGCCCGAATTCATTTGCCAGCCGACTCGACGCGAGCCAGATACACGCTGCCCAAAGGCTCACCCACATTTGAGGTTACGGACGATTACCGAGCTCGCGATGGAAATTTGCCGAAATCCTTATCAGCTGTTTTACGTTTCGCATTGTTTGCTTTCGTGCGGTGCAACGCGTGAGAGCGACGTTTCGAAAGCGCCGTGCGGATAATGAGCGTTGGAGAGATAGCGATGCTAACCAGTAGGACGGTCGCAGTTTATTGGCGCAACCAGCAGGCGAACCACTTTGCAATTCATCGAGGAGCCCGTGCTATTATATAAAGGATTTGACGGCCTGCTCCAAGCTTTAACTTCGGTTAATCGGTACGGGTTATTCGTAAATATTGAAAAGCGTGTTTTGAGCCTTTCTCATAGGCTATTGGCCATTACCCATCTCGACCCTTCGTAGGACTTGGAAACTCACCCTTCGTCTCCCACCTCCCTCCGTAGCTCCTTACACCTCACCCCCGGTACATTTTGAAGGTTCTCAATGGAGTTTAGTCGGCTGGGGTTAGTTATACCCTGTTTCTATGGCGTTTATGCCCCCGAGGCAGCCATCGGCGTAACCTTCCGAGCCCACCGAGTGGAAAATACTCTCTCCGAACGAGCTCACGCCATAAACATCAACTTTCCGACTCTTTCCAATAATCTTCCCAACAGATCCATAGAATCCGATCGACTGGCTAATTCTCATAAGTCATTTTTAAGTTATACTCGTAGGATTATCCGATTGGAGTGTATCGGTAAGATTTGACATATGTCAAAAAATTATTTTGACGATTACAAGAAAACGCCTATACAACAATATTTCCTAGGCTCGATAATAAGTATCCAACACGTGTCTTCCCTATTGATAATTAATTCAATATTATGAAACGATCTTATCAGCTGACGATTATCAAATACAACTAGTTTATTTAAGCCGAGTGACCACGTCTTCTAAGAACGTTCTCAATGTTAAACCCCCACAAATATCCAAACTGGCCCCCGTAACACCGACGATAATAAGATTATCCAATTCCAATTGGCTGCCGAAGCTCCGTACCAGAGCCCAATTCACATCTGCCAGTCTCGAACCTTAAAATCGACTCCGAGCCAACAAGGCGAATCCACACGAATCACACAAGACTCGGTAATTCATAGAGTCCCAATAGCAAGGAGCAAGCCTGCATAATTTCGCGCGAAAGCGCCTCGCCGTTCCTCGTCCAGAGGCTTTCGAAGATCGCTCGATTTTCCAGCGGAGGTGTCAAGATGGCGGGCGATGCCTACGTGACACGGGCGTACCGGGGAGTCCGGGGTCAGCGGCGCGCGCGGCGCGCGTAGGGCATATGTCTGTCTATTGCGGCGATACTCGGCCCCGGTTCTACTCTCTCGCTCATTTGCTCTTGCGCGAGTCACTTGCTCTGCCCCCTGCTCCCTGCCCCAGACCCTGCCCCATCGCGCTCACTCACTCCACTACGCTCCGCCACTACATTACACGAATAAGAGATTTTTTCGATGGGACTCTCGCACGCCTGCTTGCCTGTCTGCTTACTTACTTGCCTGCTTGCTTACCTCTCTCTCTCTCTCTCTCTCTCTCTCTCTCTCTCTCTCTCTCTCTCTCTCTCTCTCTCTATAGTTCGCTCACTTACTTACGTGCTCACTCCGCTGCTATGCTCCTTGGGTTACTCGAATGCTCACTGTCGCTAGTTGCTTCTCGTGCGAGACCCCCCCCCCCTA